ATTGATCAGTTTACTCATTCACTTAAAAGATAAAGCAACATAACATGGTTGAATTAGATTACCTCCACATATGCACACATTGAGTAGCTCCCAAGGAAAGCATAATATCATAGTCATAATGTATAATATGCACTTCCGTTTTACACATATCAAATTAATGACGTTATTGTGTATTATAATCTTTTCTTTTCGATAAAAGTTTCCTGTGTTTTTCTGGGGGCCCTGACCCCAAGGTTGGGAAACTTGGCTTTGAAGGATGAAAGCGAGAGGCTCAGAAGTGCTTCATGAAGAACCTCTTTGTGTGATATCAAAACCAACCAAACTGTCACCGTTGGCAGTTGTTTGGACGCTGGTGTGGTGGGAACTTGTTTGCCTGGTCTATTTGTTTGTTGTGATGGTCGCTGAGGGGGGAAACCCTCCCACTCAATTGGCCTTGGGTTCCAGAGTAGCTGGAGGACAGGTCATACAAAGGCGCAGTGTGATGGGGTCATCACTGTCAAAGCCCAGAGTTTGGGGACGTGCCAACTTTGTAAATGACGGCTTCGTATGGTTGCCATATCCTGCTCCCCTCAAGTCATCATGCCCTGAAACCATCCACCAAAACCACTCAACAACATGTTTACGAACCAAAACTGGGAGGATAGGCTATAGGGATGAAAAAGACTCTTTGTAAAGGCTGGAGACTATAAAAGAAACAATCATCCAGCATCACAGGACCACCTTTGCTGGAGTTCTTGTTTTTGAGTATGTGTGAGAGGCTGGGCTGGTGAGAAACACCGTGGATTTACATAGCAGTCTGCGACTTCAAACGAGGTGGCTGACATTTGAATGGGCTGGTGGTGGGAGCCTCTGGTGGGGTTTTTGTTGCCATGCAGGGTGAGCCAAGGAAAGTGGGCACGCACACTGCTTGGATTTGTGTGTAGACAGCTTGTCCTGTTTACTGGGCCCACAGGTTACCATAGGAGCTCCCTACAAACTGAGTGTGTGTGTGTGTGTGTACGAGACAAAGAAAGAGTGTGAGAGAGAAAGATAGGGAGACTGGGAGATGGAAGCAAAGGGGGGGGTAACGCCATGTAGAGTTAGATAGGTACTGAGTCACTGTGTATGCTGCTAAGAGAGGACAGAACAACCCTGGTGAGTAACACACTAATAATAGGAGAGAGGAGATTGGGACCATGCGATGTGGATGCCCTTTTGTAAGCAGTCGCACATCATTTGAAGCTTTCTGACTCTGTCCGTGACTACAGTAGCTTTTATGGATAAGTGACAGATGTGAGCCAAGTAGTACATTGCTGTTTATTTGCTTCATGTGACTACATATTTTAGGACCAGGATTGGAACCTTGTCCATCCTCTATCATCAACTGTGAAATTTCACTTTACTCACTAACTACGCTATAGTTCCTCTTCCTACTCTCATCTACATATACGTGAATGCACATAGTGATAAAACATATATCAATAGTGTGAAATGTACAGTCTATTGTGTTTAACGCCTACTCACTTGACCAGAAACTGAAACTTGAATGCCAGTAAGTCAAATCAACAGCCGATAGCATATGTCTCTATATCACTGCTTCCCAATCTGGGGTCATTTTCTCTGACTTCCACAAAATTATCTCAGGCTTTTCTATAACTGACTGACTTTTCTGTGACATACTGGATTTTTCAACTCTCCAAGTCTCTAAAACTCCTTGAAATTAAACAATTAGAGAAGGAAATTTCAACTGCTCACAGCTCATCTCTGCACTAGGGCCGTAAGCGGTGATGAGAATCAAGGAGTATACATTGCTTCATTTCAAGAGGTCACAAGCCAAAAATGTTGGAAAGCGTTAATGTTGATCTCAACATGTCATGCTGATGCAGAACAATGATTAAAAAAAGATCCTAAAATACGTCTGGACAGCTGTGGCTACACTTCTGACCACGTCCAACCAAAACAGCGTCAACTTCAGGAGGAATAAATGTTAGTTCAGCACACAGGGAACCAAAGGGAAAAACCCTTTGCTCCTGACAAGGAACACCTGTCTGAGTGAGTGTATACTCTGGAATGAGTGTAAGCCTCTGGGACAGTGGGAGGGAAGCATGTCAGTGAGTGTGTGCATGTGTACAAAATCTGCGCAAATAACCAGTCAGGGTCATACATGAGTCTCATGTAAACTTAAATTACAGATCTAGCTTTCCATTGTATTGTACACTTGGGTCAGGATTCAGACTGTATACACACACTGATCCACTTCCGCCCACACGGATCCAACACTTCTCTCTCCCCTCCCGCAGCTTTTCCTTTCCCTGCCTGGCTGCTCTGCTGGCTGGCTGACGAGCCGTGCTGCCTGGCTCGGTGGCGGTTGCCCTGTCTATCAGTCTATTTCCAGGCTCAGGGCCCAGCGCAGAGGCAGTCAGTCAGGCGGTGTGGTGGAGGGCAAAGGGGTTGATGCGTGTGTCAGAGAGGCGCTCTCCCACATTCCCTCGGCGGCTGGCAGCAGGCCGGGCCTGCGGAGGGGGGTTCGCCTCTTTCTCACGACCTCTCAGGTTCCTGCGCTCATCTGGGAGCTATTCATTTCCTGCCAGAAAACAGCCTTCCCCTGCAACTGCAGGAGGAGGGAGGGGAGGGGGGGTGCAAGGGGATGGGGGAGAGAAGGGGAGGGAGAGGAGTTTGGCTTCAAAATGAGTCCAGGGCTTGGTACAGCAAGCCCTGGGCTTAAATCATAAAGCTCTCGCTTGTCTGGGCTGCAATCAAAGACAGCCCCAGTGACGGGCCGGGAGAGAGAGGGAGAGAGAGAAAGAAGAACCATGAGAGAGAGAGGGAGAACAGACCATATGGTAGCACTTAGGGAGCCAAGGAGGAAGCAGAGGGGCTTTTTTTTCCCTCCTTTCGCTCCCTGCATGCACGCGGAGTGTGGGAAAAGTTAATGGACACGCATGGCAGCTAACCCCCTGGTCGTGTTGTGACATGTGTGCGGTCACTCCGGCAGCTCGGCCACTGCACTGGGTAATTGGAGAGGCTCGTAAAGCTGTTCTCCAGAGGGGAAGAGACCGCTGAAGATGTTGGTGGGTGGGGGGGAGGAAGGGAGGAAAGGCGGAAGAGGGGGAAAGGTGGTGAGGCGGGGTGGGAGGGCTCAGCAGCTGGGTGTTGTCCGGGTCACACCACGTGCCTAACAGACGTCCCGTGTCCAGCTGTGGCCCCGGGGCTAAGGGCAGGAAGCTCGACACTGGTCTGAGCACAGCTGGAATGCTGTGGGAACGTTTTGTGTATGTGTATGTGTGACGGTGTGTTTGTGTGGAGAAGCTCTGGCTCACAGGAGGCCGACTGTTCCCGTGTGGTAGGCCTTTCCTTGAACCCCCTCCACCCCCACTTAACTCAGCACTACCTCACCCATTGTGCCCTTTGGCCAGGCATGTCCTCACCCAGCACCCTCCACAAACACACACACACAAGACGTATGCACGCACAGACACGAGCACACACATGGCTTCAATCAAACAGGGATACACGGCCCCCCGTAAAAAGGTGTGATGGAAATTCAAAATGATGGCACTTATCCACACTTTGTGCCTCTTAGCGCACTGATAATTGCAAACACCTGCACCCCCTCCCCACACACACCCCCTTCAAAGAAGGGCCACACTCGGATAGCTGGAGGGGGCATACACACCTGGGCAGAGCAGAGTGCTACCACATGGCTCAGTGGTGAGGTGTTTAACGTGTCCTTCTGCTGTCAACCCCCCCTGGCATCAAGGAACTCCCTCAGCTCTGATTAAAGACGCAGCCTAGGGGCTCCTCTCTGCTCCATACTGTCGATGTGGAAGCTGACTGAACAGCGGAAATCCTTATAATGATAATTGTTTTAGGAGCTTGATCACTTCAAATTATTGGTTGGCTGTTAGTATAATAAATAATCTGCTACTTAGAAACTTTTGAGTGGAAGGGGCCACTGCATCATTTGCACTGATGAATGGCCATTTAGCTTTATGTCACAATACAATAGGTTACAAAAAAAAGACAAGAAACATGTGTTTTGATCAAATGTTCTGAGAAGTTAATTCACTCAGAGCTGCAACCTCAAGCCTCTCCAACAAAATGGCTTTACTTATAGAATAATAATCTGAGCATTTTCCTATTCCCATTACTCTCTGAAATGAGACACAGGCTGTGCTCGTTTTCATCTATGATGCACATCCACACCAGCCACTCACGCTCCACTCATTGATCTCTCAAATACCAATCGGACTGCAATGCACTTCTGCGCTGCTAGATGGCGTGAGTGACCTCTGTAACGCTCCAAAGTTTCCACCAGGAAAGGTGAAACTGCTGGGCTATCAGCCTGAGAAACATCAACTAGCTCCTGGTGTCTGATAAATCACAAAGCCACTGTCTCCTGCCCGACTCGCTCGTTCAGATAACAGAATTACAATTAGCCTTACAGTTTACTGACAGTCTGGTCCAGCGTGACCAACAGTGAACGAGCATGTGCAGTATTTTTGCTCAAAGACACTACAATCGTATTGCTATGCCTCGTGCCAATTAATAAACATCCCAGTGATTTTCAGGAGACTGAAGCATAAACATTACTGCTCAGAGGATGGACTCTCTCATCCAACAGATACTTTCTTTTCTGTGTTTACAACAACGTGTTATTACTGATGCTGTTGGCTAATAAAAATGTGTTTTGTAAACAGTTTCTACACATTTCTTTCCCTTATTAAGTGAGAAATGGAGTTTTTAAAACACTTGTTGATTCCATGTGTAATAAACCCACTCAATAGAAAGTTAAGTTTTCACATAACACACAGAATAACCGAATTGAAAAGTTTCTGGTAGCCCACTACATGTGGGCCACTCTCAGTTCTACTTTTATGCACACAGAAAACTCTACGTCATGAATTTTAAGTATCAACTAAACTACATTTGCAGGCGGGAACTGGTAATATTTGCAGCTTCACGTTTTTTTTTCAGGAGAATAACGCAGAAACAGGCGCGTGTTTTTTAATATCTTTACAAATTTATTTGTCTTCCAAAACGAAGAACAGCGTAAGAGCATTGAACATATCTTTGGCATCACACAGTAAAAAAAAGACAACTCAAATATATAAAAATGCAGTGAACGGACTTCCACAATACAAATCTCATTTCAATATGAACTTTACTCCCTTGTTAGCTGTACAAATATAGTGCATACTCTTTCCATTTTACAAGAAAACAAAACAGATTCAAAAAAAACTTTTCTAACATTGAACGAAGAGAGAACTATTAAGTGTCATTTTAAAGTCTTTATGAACCTTTTACACTTTTCACCAGGGTCGCCACACTGAGTCCGTGTTGCCTGACGGGGCTCCTGGGGAAATCGCAGCCGGCACAGGGACCGGCGTGCTGACGTTGTTGGCGTACACGGGGATAACGGGGCCGTTTGGCGCAAATGCCGCATTGGGAATGAGGAATGCAAACTGTCCGTCTGTGGCAGGCACGATCTGGAAACCGCCGTACACTTTGGTGGCGTCTGAAGGTAAACTCGCAGGCGACGAGCCGCCTTTACAGGAAACCGCGTTCATGGGCAGGACCTGCGGGGACGAGCTGGGGATCTGCACCATGGACTGGCCGAATGACGGGTGTGTTGGCCCGGCGGTGGAGGGGAGCTGGTGTTGGTGCTGATGCTGGCTGGGATAGTTCATTGCGTTAATCTGGGTCATGCAGTTGGCCAGGTGACCGAGCAGCCGCGTCCTGACCTCGGTGTTGACACCTTCGCAGGTGGACAGGAACCGGGTGACTTCATTCATGCACTCGCTGAAACCGGCTCGGTATTTTCCCAAAACAGTGGGGTCTGTGTTCAGGGCAGCTGCAGAGAAAACAGACAGGGAGAATTCAGTCGGGATATTCAAATGCACAGCTCGTTTAATTCATAGAATGATCTGCGAATACTCAGGACATGAGTCAATTTTTAGAACTGGGTGATGAAGCAGGAGCGTTAGAATAGATATGATCTATAACGCACAGTCATGAGGCAGAGTAGTCCGGGAAATGCAACTTACCGGTCATCTGAGCCCTCTGGAGGTTCCGGAGATGCTTCACCGTCATCTCCAGGATGTCCGCCTTCTCCAGCTTGGAGTGTCTGGAGCTCTGAGGAGACGGAAAACACACATGGTTAGGATTACGCACTCGCTTTCTCGCTGTTTGACAGGGACAGTGTAGAATTGCAGGTTAAAGAATCTAATAATAACCAGGATGACGATAGAGTACTTACATCTTTTTTGAGCGCATCCAGGATGAGAGTTTTCAGTTGCCCCAAGCTCTCGTTGATTCTGGCTCTTCTCCTCTTTTCCATAATTGGCTTGGATGACTACAGGTGAAAACAAAACGACATGAACTGTTAAATTTCTCTTTCTGGTTTAGTGCGTAAAATTGAAAATCCTTGATTTTTTGGGCAAAGAGCTTATGTAAAATTGTGTCCAAATAGAAATATTTAGGGCTTTTTTTATTATAGATGACAGTCAAAGTGAAGATGCTTTTATATAGAAGTGTTGTACCAACCTTTCTGTGCTCTGAGGCTGTCTTGGGTTTATCGGGAGTTGTGTTCATGCTTGCCGGGGTTGCAGCAACCGGAGAGGAGGAGGTTTTTTCCATCATATCGGCAGGCATCTTTTCTTATCGGAAATATCCCACAAAAACCACAGCAAATTACGGTCCACTGATGCAGGAAAGACGGGCGATGAATATTTGCAGCTCGCGATATTCAAAAGTCCCCTCTCCCACAAAAAGATCCTGAGATATGTATCAAGTTAAAATCCTTAGAGCGATGCGCAGCGGCAGCAGCGATCGGGAGCGGATGCGGAGTCTCTCTGTTGGGCTCTCCGCGTGTGGCTTGTATTTATATCTCGCACTGCACGCGAGCGGCTCGTGTGAAACTTCCCAAACTTTCTTTCCCACAGTAACTTTCCACCAATCAGGGCGAGAGACACGCGGCCCGAGGGAGGACGGCTCGTGGTCGGCGCCCTCCCATTGGTTGTTTGGCCGCTGAAGCTGGCGGCCAATGGCGCGCGGCCCGGGTTCAGGGCACAGCCGGGGAAACTGCCTTTAGTCTTCAATCATCGTACCGTTTACATATTAACAGTGGAGCCGCTGACTGGGCACCGCCACCAGGAGCGGGCAGAGGGACTTATTCATCTACCAGACAAGCGATAACAACACAGAATATTAGAAAGTAATGATAAAAAAATATAGAAACTAACTGTAAAAATGCCACAAATGCATACACATCAGCAACATAATTTCCCACACTCCTCCCAATCCCATATTAACACCCACAATCAAATCAACTTTTAATCAGCCTTGACCTGATTATATGTTGGCCTGTCTCCTTTAACAAAGTTAGCTTGTAACTCTTGCAGGATAGGTAGTGTAAAATTCAGTTATCCAAATTGTCCACAGTAAAAAAAAAAGAGAGGAAAGAAAGTAAATAAATCTGAAACACTTTTGTAGAGTTTTAAAACCACCAGTGGGAAGTGGTAGGCTATCAGGAAATCAGAGTTTCAGTCATGTGCCATGGAGGCACAGGAGGGAGCAGTTTTGTTTTCTTTTCGACCAAACCTCACAGTAGATAGTTATTGTTGTAATAGACTTAGTAAAATAAAACAACTGGGGATGACAACTCAAAACCACACGAGGAGACAAAACTCAGATCCAAACAAACACACAGCGAACACAATCTTTATATTCCTAGAGTAATGTCAACTTATCCTTCCCTCAGAGGGGTGGTGGGGGGGTGGTGGTGGTGGTGTGTGTGTGTGTGTGTGTGTGTGTGGGGGGGGGGGGTACAATTAAACTGCACACTCTGTTTCCATGTTATTTACCACTGGAGTCCCTAACTCTGTGGTACAAATTTTGGCATTTAATCATGTGTCGGTGTTGTGAATGTGGAGCACGTGCCAGGATGTTTTATGAGCACGGTGGTTGGAGGTTTGGCCGTCGGGCTGCCGGGGGGCCGCCGGGCCAGGGAGGGAGAGGAGGAGGGGGTGGTGGTGGAGGAGTGAGGGGGGGGGGCTATGTGGCGGCGGCGGCGGCGGTGGTTTACATTAGAGGGGAAGGTAAATAGCAGCTGCTGTTTTAAAAGCCTGGGAAAACCACGCCTACAGAGAGAGCTGGATCGGGCTCCCTTATCGGAATGTGAGCCAGAGCAGAGATATTTCTGAGCCCGGAGAGCTTACACGATCAGACCGATGCCTGCTCCTCCTCCTCCCTCTCCTCCTCCCTCTCCTCCTCCTCCTCCTGCTCCTCCTCCCCGCCTATCGCACAGCGTTCAAGGCTTTTTTAGATTTCAGGTCATAATTTCATTTTCTTATCTTTATTGCACTTGGAGAGACGCAAGAGCAGACGAGCAGTAAAAGGAGAGAGAAATAGGGCCCATAATTGCGTCTTATAACTTTACTGACGTGCAGTAGCTCTACATGTTTCAGGCTGTGCGACCGTGGACACAAACAAACAGGGAGGTTTAAGTGAACCTGCGCTCTCTGTAACACATGTCACCGAGTTTAGGAAGTCTTGCTGGCATTTAAAGTTTTGAATTGTAATGGCACTGCGTCCTCTATAACCCAAATAATATTAGTTTCAGAAAGAAATACATGCACTTCGCTACAGAGACTGAAGTCAACAGATTCCAAATCTGTCATTAAACTTCTGATGTTTAATCGTATCATTCTTTGTTTACGCGAAACAGTAGAAAATACCTTCTCCTAGTGGAAGTATTCTCACGACTTTCTAGTTATTTTATTCCGAATAAAATTAGGAAAACAAGAATATGAACCATGAGAAATTGTGGAGGCGTTCGGTGGCAATGTGGTGAGAGGTGTAGCCTAACTGTGGAAAGTAATGAAATTAGGTAACAAATCCATTACTTTATTTATTTATTTTTTTTAGAGTATACGGAGCTCTGTGCGTGGCTCTCCGCTGAGCTCACACACCTCCAGCTGCTGCGAAGACCGCGACACGTGGCGCGCAGGCGACCAGAGGAAGGCGCTCCTCTCGCCGGCTTGCCGCCTGCATCTGCGGGGCGTCGCCGGCGGCTGGCCGCAAGATCGTGAATTTGATAGGCAACGCGGTGCTGCACCACGGCTCCAGATACTCAGCTGAACACGAGAGAGGCGCAAGGATGGTTTTAGGTTCTCTCCAAGCCTACACTTGAGCATGCAGCGGTAAATTACAATGTCTGTAGAATGTATATGACATCACCGCCAGCAGCAGCTTGCAGACACAGATGAATTATGTTATCGGAGGACCAAAGCATCAAGTCATGCTTATATGATTTCAAACATTTTATGCTCCTTTGACCACACCGCTTTAAAGCTATTGTTCTTTTCCATATCAGCCAGATTTCAGTCCACATCTTGTTAAAGGTGTAGTTAAAATAAGTTTTACACTCTATCAGCTATAATTTCAGAATGAGTAACCGGCATGTGGAGACATCAATGAAAACACACGTGTCTTGTGCGGCAAACTTGGATTTTGGCAGGAGGGAGGCTGATCTGTACATGCTCATGCGCCTAAACCTGCTATAATCCTGAATATCCTTCATGCTCAACAATGCTTCTTCAGTCAAACACATCACTAATATGTCTCATTGTTGTGAGCTGCACACCTGAGTCACTTCCTCGCACAATGCCACTGAGAGAGTCCCAAAACAAATGCTCTGATGCAAGGGGAGACAGAGTTTAGGTTTTGAAACGCTCTCCGCCTGAATGACTTTCTCACGCTCATGTTGCAAGAGGTCTCCGACGGTGAACTGAGTCACGGAGCTTTGGATCTGTCGGTCCCTCCCTTTTCCTCTGCAAGTTGAACATCTTATCGGGCGCACCTGGCTGCCGGTCCCCTGAGTGTTACCTGTTGCCGTGTCAACTCCTCTGTCACAAGAAATCTGTGGGAAACAGGCTGACTCACGGCGAACACGGCTCTCTGTTGTAAAAGCTTTTGATCGTGATGTGTCGGATAACTTTACTGATGAAAAGCAAAATATGGCGATTGTCTGGCCAGCAGACAGGAAAACAAACCAGCATGATTATTTCATGATTATTTTTTTTGTTTGGGACACCCCGCCCTCACTCTCCAAATACTCACACTCTTGTTACCTGTGATCCCCCCCACCACCACCACCACCACCACCTCCCGTGTCCCATGCACCAACCGTCATCCCTCTTGATCTTATTCTCTCTCCTTTTTTTTATCACTTTTTTATATTGCACCTCCTCTCCTCCCTCCCTACTTTATCTCCCTCTTCCTCTTTTCTCATCCCACCGCTCCCAGTCTTTCCCAGGACTCATATCTTTATTGAGCCCTCTCGACCATGGACCTCTACACACTGCAATAATGCAATTAGGCAGGGAGATTGTGGTGCTAAAGTGTGTGTGAGAAAGTGTGTGATATTGTGCTCACAAAACAATCTGGCCCACTGTCAACCACAGCTCATGCCTTAATGTGTAAGCCATTGGTGAACAGTGCTACTGCCAAGGGTGCTCCTGGTGCCACAAGGGTGACAAGGTGTGTGTTAGGGGAGGGGTGGGAGGTGGGGTTGAAGCTTAAATTCCTATGCTGGCATTTAGGTTTCATTACTGGTTGTCAAGAAGAGTGGGAAGTAAGCAGGCAGGCAGGCAGGCAGACAGACAGGCTGTATGAAGGCCAGCCTTGAGGTGTCATGTGGCTGCCGCTGCCAAACTGAGGGGTGGCACTGTGTTGTCGCAGCCCGCTTTCCCAAGAGGCTACCACACAGTGGTTGACTAACTTGACTCATCCAACAGTTCACACTGCGAATAGCTTGGACAACAAGTTTCTAGAAATCTTTGCATTTCCAACAGAGCCGAGTGGCCAGTCACCATGAAAAGCCAATGAACTTTGCAGTTCTGCTTGGGAACTGTAAAAAAGGAGAAGGAGCTCATTACACACAGTCCAAGAATACCAGTCCTCTGCAACTTATTTGACAGCCTGAGCAAATTGAGGTTGCTCAGTTGCCATAAAGATGGTCCTATACTTGAGTCGGATGACGTAAGCATAGAACTTTTGTCACATGATAACCGGTGGTCAAATATGGGGAGACTATAGTACCAGCTAAGGAAGACTGAAAGGTGTGAGTGAAAGCAAGTGAACACCAAAACATGTTTGTTTGCGCCAGAAACTGTAGTACATCGGGTAAAGTCATGAATTGTCATAAATCATTAAGGCTCCAATTCCTCTAAACAATGCTACATAGAGATTTATCAAATTGGCAAAATACACATGCCTACATTTGACTTTGAAAACTACTGTATCTCTACAAGAAACCAGTATATGGCTTTTTAGAGCCTCTAGCACCACCCACAATCAGTCAGACTAGAGTGATCCGTCACCCAAGTTGCTCACAGTGTGAGCGCAGGGTTACAGCAAACAGAGGGTTGTGCGAGAGCGATAAACTCTGACAACTTACAGAAAGCGCTGGATGATAGCAGAGCCAGTCGTTACCGATTTTGGAGCGTGTGAGAGAGGACAGAGAGAGTGAGTGGAGCAGCGAGTGAGAGTGTTTGTGTGTGTGTGTGTGTGTGTGTGCATCATCCCAGCGTGGCATGAATGTGTGTTATTAGTGGGAGTGGAGTAGGACCTGTGCTCAGCTGCTGTTAGCGAGGCCAGCCAAGGCTTGGAGAGCAGGATCAAAGCGGGGACAAAGAGAGAGAAGGAGAACTGACAGATCCTCCAAGCGGAGAGAACAGAAGGAGGAGAGAGGAGAGGAGATGAGGGGGTTTGGAGGCTCTCCAGATACAGCCGCACACATCGCTTACCTCCCCTCACACACACAAACTGAGGTGCCTG